TGGCCAGGCTGGTCTCAAACTCCTGATCTTGGGTGATCCACCAGCCTCAGCCTCCCAAAGTGCTAGGATTACAGGCATGAGCCACTGCACCCAACCTAGATGTACTGTTCTAAAGATGATCAGTGCTAATAGTCCAAGCCTAACACTTTCCAAATTCGTCAAAGAATGATTCACACTTCATGCCTGCTTCAGCAAAGGCCACTGCAATGGGAGCTCAGCATGTACCACTTACCAGGCTCAGTGTAGTCCCTATTTCTGAGCCTAGTGTGATGATTAATTAATTTTATGCATCAACTTGGCCAAGCCACGGTGTCTAAATATTTGCTCAAACATTATTCTAGATGTTTCTCTGAAGCTATTTTTTAGATGAGATTAACATTTCAATTTGTGGACTTTGAGCAAAGCAGACTGTGCTCCATAATGTGGTGGGCTTCATCCACTCAGCTGAAAACATTAATAGAAAAGACTCCCCTCCCTGGGAGAAGGGAGAATTCAGACGAAAGTTCAGTTTTCCCTGCGTTTGCAGGCTGCAAGCCCACCCCTGAAGATTGAAGACTTGCCAGCTTCCACAGTCACATGAGTCATTCCTTAAAATAATCTCCCTGTGCTCCTGTGTTTCTTTCTCTCTCTTTCTCACGATATAGATCTGAATTCAATATAGGTGTAGTTTAGATATATAAATACACACATTTACAACAGGATGCATATACATCTACATACATATACATCCTGTTGATTCTGTTTCTCTGGAGGACCATGACTAATAGACCTAGTTAGAATCACAGAAGTGACATTGATGCCAAAGGACCCAAGAGAGCATCTGCAAAGCTGCATGCAGGCTGTCTTCCTAGGCCTGTGAGATCTGACCACAGTCATTTTACAGGTATCTCCAATACGACAGGTACCAAACCAACAGACAAGAATTCAAATTCTGGCTGTGCCACTTGGTAGCTGTGTGACTTCAGGAGGTTACCTTACCTGCCTGTGCCCCTGTGCCCTCATCTGTCTCAGAATAAGGGCATCCACTGCATCTGGTTATCGTATGGATGAAATCGGTTACCACGTGGAAAGCATTTAGAAGTATGCCTGTCACCAAGTAAGCCTTCATGACATGTCATAATCCTCTCAAACACCATCTGCTTCTGCTTTCCCTTGTACTCCTGTAGGAAAGTCCCAACCGTATAAACGTAATGCCCAAAACCTCATTTTATCTTCTTCTTCTTCTTCCTTCCCCTCACCAACCCCCTCCACTCCCAGTCTAAGGATTCATTGATTCTGCATTCCCAATGTCTTCTCTATTTGTGCTTTATTTACTCAGTCTTCTACACTTCCTGACAACTTATTCTGGGCCTGACACTGGGTTTCGAAGTGTTGTGGTTACAAAAATAAGTAAATACCGAAGAGTGGAGGGGACTCTGCAGTCCCATGACCCTGGCTTTGGTCATCGTCATTCCTCTTCCTTGGATTATTGATGGAGCTTGTTAAGCAATTTTCCCCCTCAATCCGTCCAAGGAACTCTCCCCCTCAGTCTGTCCTTCATCATGATGCTTCTCCAAACTCAGGTCAAATTCCTTCTCTTGGCCCCTAGAATAAAGCCCACGACGGTGCCCAAACAATCTTTATTTTCTTGTCTCCCAGTGTTTTTCTCCACAGTGGGCCTCTGACCACTCCCCAGGAATACTGTGCTCCTCTGTGCCCCGTGACTCTGCTCCTGCAGCTGGTACGTTCCTCTGATCACCTGCCCGACGTCTTCCTTGACCTTCCCAGTCAGAAGTAACTGTTTTTCTCTCTCACAGTTCTTGTCCTTCCATTTGACATCCCAGCTGTCATTGTTTATGTAGCTGAACTCTGGCTTGAGCCCAGGCTGCCTTCACTCTGGGATCCAGACAGGACTTGGCCAAGTCTGGAGGGCCCCTGGGGTGGGTCTGCCAAGGTTCTACTTACATGAGGGTCTGAGAAGCGTCCCGGGAAATGAACTCATTCTGAGGGAAGAGAGGGCCAAGTCACACTAACACGTTCCAAGGACAGTCAGCCAGTGTCAGAGGAAGGGATAATTTTTAGTACAGCGTGGTGTCTGCCACTCAGCTTGTCCTTGGCCACGTTCACAGGGATGCATGCCTGAGTCATGGAGTCATCCATCTGCATTCAGCAAAATGTATATTGAGTGGCTACTATGGACCAGCTCTGCGCTAGACACAGGCAGCAGGAGATGAAATAAGACAGACCCAGTCCCTGACCTCAAGGAGCTTAACTTATAGTTTAGTAGGCGTTCTTAAAAAAACAAAAGAGGCGTTGCAATATAACAAGTGAATGAATTTTGGTTTTATTTGTCTACTTTTTTTTTTTTTTTTTTTACAATTTTAAGTTTTACAGTTTATAATTTGAAACATTCGTATAAAGCAGGGAAAACACAAAGAACCTCTGCTTTTTCCTCTTGTGAAAGTGGAGGAAAGTTGCAGAAAAAAATGGCTCAAGTGAGTGGGGCGCTGGACCAGCCAGAGAAAGAGCAGAAGAAGGCAGCGTTTTCCAGGGTCAGAACATCCGGGTAACCAGCAACCTGCCTCTGCACAGGGGCAGACACCATGGGGGCTGGCAAAGCACCACTGGGAAGAGATGCGCCTAGAAGTCCTGCAATTCTGTGTGTGTCAGGATCCTGTTTCTGCCTCCAGAGAATCTTTGGAAAACCAGCGTTTTCTTCATTTCTCATCACAAATTTGTCAGCTCTATGGGGATGGGCACTGTGTCTTATTGTTTGGAGAATCAAATCAGAAAATAGCCAAAAGTAGGCATGGAACAAAGTTTTGTTGAATTAAAATGAATATAAAGAACTTTTCCTTTAAGTAAAATAGACAGCGTACACAAACGAATAGAGGAAGAAATGTAAAGATTATTTATAGTTGGGTGAGTTTTTTTTCTCCCTTATTATAAAGCAAATTTTGCATTCATTCTTCATTCCACTTTGGAGGCTTGAGTTACAATTAAAGCAGCGTTGGCAGGGCAAAAGAGCTCACACCTGTAATCCCAGCACTTTAGGAGGCTGAGAAGGGAGGGGAGGATCACATGAGTCTGAGAGTTCAAGACCAACCTGGGCAATATAGTGTGACCTTGTAGCGACAAAAACCTTTAAAAATTAGCCGAAAGCGGTGGTGTGCATCACTCGTCTCAGCTATTTGGGAGGCTGAGCCCAGGAGGCAGAGGTTGCAGAGCCAAGATTGTGCCACTGCACTCCAGCCTGGTTAACACAGTGAGACACTGTCTCGCAAATAATAATAATAATAATATTAATATAGCAGAGTTAATTTGTTGCAGCCCATTTTATATAAAAATAATACATTCTAGGCCTGGCGCAGTGGCTCATGCCTGTAATCTCAGCACTTTGGGAGGCTGAGACAGGCAGATCACCTGAAGTCAGGAGTTCGAGATCAGCCTGACCAACATGGTGAAACCCTGTCTCTACTAAAAATTAAAAAAAAAAAAAAAAATAGCCAAACGTAGTGGCAGGTGTCTGTAATCTCAGCTGCTGGAGGGCTGAGGCAGGAAAATTGCTTGAACCCAGGAAGCAGAGGTTGCAGTCAGCCAAGATCATGCCATTTCACTCCAGCCTGATTGACAAAAACAAAACTCCATCTCAAAAAAATAAAAATAATACATTCTCATGCTGAAAGAAAAAACACCTGATGAAAGATGGAGAAGGGAACGTAAAAGTGAGTATCACACAAACACATGGTGGAATGTTCCATGGCAGGATGGAAGTAAATTACATCATTTGGAAGTTCCAAAACAATCTTTCTTTTCCTACTTCACTGTACTTCAAGCTGTATATAATAATTCCCCATAGCCTGGAAGAGAGATCGAAAGAAGAACACAGCAATAAGATGACGTTCTCACGGTCATACAAGCCAGTTGGCTTCAATAGTCCAGACTCATGTATGAGACAGCTGGATCTCCAGACAAAACGACTGGATCATTGGCCCAGCAATCAGAGCCTTGGCCCCTCTGAAGTCGCTCATCACATTCAACACCTGAGCACACTAGAATTTGTCAGTGAGAGGGAAGACAGTAGCAACAGACAAGGCAGACCACAGGGACACAAGTTCATTTTACACTTGTTTTCTGGGGAAGCAACAAAAGAAAAATTTCGGTTATGAAGATAGAGGACGTCGGTTTTTATTCATTGTCTACTTGCACAATCACAGAGAAACAGGGTGCTGTGGGGAGAGGAAACAGAAGTGCTAAACCTGCTTCACTGCTTAGTACCTGGGGGACCTACAGCCAATCGTTTTGCTTTCTGGGTGACCTACAGCCAATCGTTTTGCTTTCTGAAGTGCTGTTTTCAGCAAAAAATAAATAATAATGATGATTCCTACCCTGCCTGGCTCATAAAGTTGTTCTCTTTTGGAAAATTCTGAAGAGTGATGATATGGATGGTATGAAACCTACATGACTCTGCAATATTTTACCAAAGGGTCTCAGATATGTTCTCACTGTATTTCTCCTGACAGGCTCCCCGACATGCCACACCCTAAAATTAAACCCTGCTGCTTCATACTATCACATCATCCTTCCTCCAGCAGGATTCTTTTATGACTGGGAAAAGTGCCGAATACCCACGGCTGACTCAGCTCAAGGTCAAGGGCTGACTGTCAGCAAGAAGGAAAGCCAGACTGAAGAAATGAAGACCACATGAAAGGAAAGCATTTTATTTTCACGACTCTGCCTATAAAGTCTACATGAAGGTAAGTATGACATAAGAAACGCTGGCTGCCAGAGCAAGGATGGTGGAGGATGCAGAACATCTACCAGTGTAACACAAAGAGGGGAGGGGCTCCTGAGAAAAATCCAGGTGAGTGTAATGTCCTGGAGCTGGACCACAAGGGTCCCTAGACATGACCTACAGCAAATCAGTCTTTTCTCAGTTTCCTCATCTGCAAAAAGAAGTTTATAATAATGGCATCTATTCCAGAGGCTGCTGTGAGGATTCATGAATAAACATGAATGGAGTGCTCACCTTGGCAGCACATATACTAAAATTAGAATGATAAGAGCAGACGATTAGCATGGCCTCTGCTCAAGGATGACACACAAATTCATGAAGCATTACACATTTTTTTAACCAAAAAAATGTTTAAGTGAAAATAAAAATGTTAAGTGTGGATGGAGTACTTAGCACAGGGGTGGTAATGGTGGTGGTGGTGGTGGTGGTGATTTTGATTATATCTGCCAATGCTCCTGCATGAAGCTAAGAGACAGAATGGAACAAAGAAAAAAATGCCCCCAAAAAAGGCAGCAGGATTCTGCTTTCTACAGAAGGCACAATAAAGGAAACCAAGCTTTTTCAAGGTTGGGCAACAGGGGTCTTATAATAGCATATTAAAAACACCAAGAGTCCAGGTTATTGAAATAGGATCATCCTTAGACTGTGAACTTTGCACAACTTCATTCAGATAGACTGAGAAGTCCTGGCAATTTCTGTTAAAATCCTCATAAAGGAAAGAGCTCATTCCAGGGCACACGAGCATGGGACTCAGAGCAGTGAGGCATTGACAAGAGGCTTTGGGACAATGCAATGCCAGACCCAAAAAAGAAAATGTGTCAGGATACATGGAGCCAGGGCAGAATAAATTCTCCTGGCCTCTCTCCATTTAAGGGCTTACTGATTTCATAGTGAAGAAAGACAACTTAATACTAGACCCATGATCTTCACAGACTTCTATTAATACATTTGTTTAAGCCAACTGTCTAATAAAGTACCCATAGCTCATTCCATAGTGTGCGTTCATCAATGAGTTCTTTTTTGGTTTTTGTTTTGTTTCACTTTGCTTTGCTTTGCTTTGTTTTGAGACAGAGTATCACTCTGTCACCCAGGCTGGAATACAGTGGTGCGGTCTCGGCTCACTGCAACCTCTGCCCGCCAGGCTCAAGTGATTCTCGTGCCTCAGCCTCCCAGGTAGCCGGGATTACAGGCATGTGCCACCATACCTGGCTAATTTTTGTATTTGTAATAGAGACGGGATTTCACCGTATTGGCCAGGCTGGTCTCGAACTCCCGGCCTCAAGTGATGATGTGCTCACCTTGGTCTCCCAAAGTGCTGGGATTACAGGCATGTGCCACCACATCAGGCCTGAATTCTTTGCATTCATTAATTCATTCATCAGATATTTGTAGATTGCTAGAGAACACCCTGTCCTGTGCTCAGGAATGAGAGTCCAGTGCTCACAACTTAGTGGGGGAGACAGAGTGTAAGCAACCATCACGCTGCAGACTCAAATTCCACAGGAGTGATAAGTGCCCAGGGATCCCAAGGATAGAAGCCCACTGGATTAGCTAGAGGGATAGATTGTAAAGGGCCTTAAAGCCTTCTTAAGGAGTTTGGACTTCGTTTTGAGGGCAATGGAAGGCCATGGAAAGATATACTGACTTAAATACTCTATCAGTCTCTTTATAAATGATAGCTCTGGGTGAACCCTGAAAATCTCATCCTAATTCTGGCACCTAGAATGAACTGAATTAAAATCTCCCCTTGGAAAAATCACTACCATCCAAAGATGATTCCTTTGAGGACGGCTCTAAGTTATACTATCCTCATACTAAAGCTGCACAGAGGTAGCCAACAGCCTCCATGCAGTTCAGGAAAGAAAGAAAACAGTGAAGTGACCCAGACAGCCTTAATCTTAAATATATATATATATATATATGAATCATATTTAGGCAAGCAATGTTTTCATTTACTGTAAGATTTCTAAGATTATTCAAGATCAGAGATGCTCAAGGCCAGTTGACTACTAAAACTTTAAAGGTGAAAGGAAGGAATTTGAGTCATTTTGTGGTAAAAAATTAAAATAGAGCATGCTGGATAGAGGCCAGCCACCCATGGTAACAATCAGGGCACTACTCTTCCTGCATTTGAGGAATAGTGTCAAAGTCATGCCAGAATGTTTATGTTATTTTCCACAACTGTTTTAAAAAGGCTTTCTCTGTGGCAGCCACAAATTCTCTACAAGAACGGGGTTTAGAGGGAACAACCGGTTGGAAGGTATTTGTCACGAAGCTGCCTTTGCATAACTAGTAGCCTGTATTCAGATCATATGTTTTTGGTAATGGCGTGGAGATTACAGAGAGGAAACTAAAATACTCCCACTATGCTTGTGACGTGCCACCTCTACTCCAACAAGTGTGGTCTATTTCACTAAGGGTAATTAACTTGTGAAGGTGATAAAGATTACTGATGGGAGCCTTGAAGAAGCTACAGAAGATGGATCTTCGTGCCTCTACAACCTTTCAGATTAAGGATCCCCTTGTAAAAGGGATGGGGGGAATACGTCAGAGGCATTTGAACCAGAGTGAATCCATCCTGAATAGGAGCTGGGTAAATTAGGCTGAGACCTACTGGGCTGCATTCTCAGAAAGTTAGGCATCCTAAGTCACAGAATGAGAGAGGAGGTTTGGCACAAAGTACAGGTCACTAAAACCTTGCTGATAAAACAGCTCGAAGTAAAGAAGTTGGCCCAAAACCACCAAAACCAAGATGGTGACAAAAGTGACCTCTGATCGTCCTTACTGCTTATTATACACTAATTATAATGGGTTCGCATGCTAAAAGACACTCCCACCAGTGCCATGTTAGCTTACAAATGCAACGGCAATGTCAGGAAGTTACCCTATATGGTCTAAAAAGTGGAGGAACCCTCAGTTCTTGGAATTGCCCACCACTTTCCAGGAAAACTCCTGAACAATCCACCCCTTGTTTAGCATATAATCAAGACGTAACTATAAGTATACACAGTTGAGCGGCCCATGCCAACTATGGAGTAGCCACTCTTTATTCCTTTACTTTCTTCATCAACTTGCTTCCACTTTATATATATATATATGTGTAACTGAAGGGGAAATTAAGACCTGGGTACTGAAAGGAAATGTAACTATACCTAATTCATTTTGCCCATTGATACCTTCTTCTAATTTTCTGGGGGTAATTTCTGCAACTTGGAATGAGATGGAAGAATAAATGCCATTCCCTGTGGGTATGACATTTTGTTTGAACCAAATATGAGTTATAATTTCAGGAGCACTGAGAGATCTCACTTCATCTCTCTCCATCCTCCAAGTCCTGCCAGGATGCTCAAAATTGCCACATTTTTTTTTAACTCTATTAAGACCTTAAACTACTATGAAATGCATATTTCATCTGGGAGGGGCAGCACTCTGAGTCATTAATAATAACAATTACTCGAATGACTTCATCGAGTTATCTGGACCGTTTCTGGGCAGTCTCCAGGGTGGCAGTGAGGATGCTTTTGATCCTGGGGAAAACGCCAGAGGACGTCTGAAAGGCAGACTCTGGGTGTGGACCCAGGAAGACTCAAAAAGGACCTTGCTACTTCCCATTCTTCTGGGACTGGCTTGGTCTCATTGTTTGGGAGATGTGGGCTGAGATCATGAGAATTATTCTGGCTACAGCTAATTGCTTTATTGTAAACTTCAGGCTGTGTGAAGAGGCTGGATTAAATGTCTTGGTTACATACTCACCAACTATGTGAATTCGTATATGTCTTACTTAAATTCCTGGATCCTCAGTTTCCCGTCTGTAATGTAAGAATAAAAACACATACTTCACTTAACTCAGAAAGCTCCTCTGAAATTTGTAAATTAATGAATGCTGAAAGTACACTGCAAATAAAAGAGGGTTATGCGAAGGACCAGGTTTGACCCAGCAATACTCCTGGGTATTTACTCAAAGAAGCTGAAAGCTTATTTCCACACACAAACCTGCACATGAGAGTTTGTAGCAAGCTTTATCCATAATTGCCAACATGTGAAAACAACCAAGATGTCCTTTAACAGAAGAATGCATAAACAAACTGTGAGACATCCATACGGTGGGATATTTCTCAGCGATAAAAAGAAATGATCTATCAGGCCATAAAAAGACACAAAGGAACCTTAAATGCATATTACTGAGTGAAGGAAGCCAATCTGAAAAGGCTAAAGGCTACATGCTATATGATTCTAACTACCTGTCATTCTGGTAAAGGCAAAAACTTGGGATGCAGTAAGAAGACCATTGGTTGACGAGAGTTTCGGGGATGGGATAACTAGAGAAGAGGGGATTTTTAGGACAGTCAAACTATTTTTTTCCTTTTCTTTTTTCTTTTTTCTTTTTTTGAGATGGAGTCTTACTCTGTCTCCCAGGCTCAAGTACAATGGTGCAATCTCGGCTCACTCTGGTCTCCCCCTCCTGGGTTCAAGCGATTATCCTACCTCAGCCTCCCTAGTAGCTGGAATTGCAGTGACGCACCACCACACCCAGCTAATTTTTTGTACTTTTTGTAAAGATGGGTTTTGTTTTCTTTTTTTTTTTGCCATGTTGGCCAGGCTGGTCTCGAACTCCTGATCTCAAGTGATCCGCCTGCCTTGGCCTCCCAAAGTGCTGGGATTACAGACATTAGCCACCACACCCAGCCTGTTAAACTCCAATACAATGCTAGAGACATGCAGTTACCCATTTTTCAAGAGCCATAGAACGTGCAACATATACAGTGAAGCCTCCTGTAAACTACAAACTTCAATTAATAATAAAATGTCGAAGAACTATGTTATTTCTGATTTAAACCCTTCAGAGGCACCCTCTTGCCCACCAGTTAAAGTCCACACTCTGCCCAGTAGCATTCAAAGCTCTCATCACCTGGTCTCTTGCTTTATCCATCCTGGATTACTAGAGCTCCCTAAGCAGACCGTCATGTTCATCTGTTGTTCCTGCCTGTCCAACATCCACTTTCCTTCTTCTGCAGAGATCACCCGTTTCCCTTCAGGAAACAACAGCCAATGCACCTTCAGTTTCTGTGGTTTGCTTGGGACTGACCTGCCATACTCACATTCAGAGCTGGGCACATGATTTAAGTCAGTTCAATCAGAGATAACTAGACATTTTAATCTGACCCATTAAAAAAATAAACTCTTTTTGCTGGGGCATCTCAGAGGCTAGATTTAATACCGAATGCCTGTGGCCATCCCTGCTATCTCCTGGGAAGATCCTGCCTAAATGAAACCAACAAAGTAGAAAGTAGAGTTAGGAGAAGGCAAGAAATTTGAGCCAAATAACATCCATGGA